CCATGAGGGCGGGCAGAGCCACTGGGTGGTCCTCTTGCTGCTCCCTTGAAGATTCTCAGCTCAGGCATCCATTCCTCTTTGGCCCAGAGGCACCAATGTTGGTTGATTTTCTGTAAACCACCACCACAAACCTCCCTTCTGAAGCAGCACCCTTCACCTTTGCTGCTCGGGGAACTCGCACCAAACTGGGCAGGAGCAGGCTGCTGTTGCTATGTGCCCGGCATCCAGAGGCCCCAAGCAGATCACAAAGTCCTGACTTGGGTATCACCTAGATTGTATTGTACCGTCAATTAAGCATCTGCCATCTGTCAGCGTGCATGCCAAACTCTTTACATGGCCCGTATAATAAATCCTTGTAACGGCACCATGAAACACAATTGTTCACTTTACGGTGGGGAAACCAGGCAATCTGGCTTCAGAGCTCATGTCTTAACCACTGCTCTAAATTGAAAGAAAATTTATTTCAATATTCAATAAAATTATGCCTATGAAGCTCATTGCAATGTTAAAGGCTAAAGAAGGTTTGGCCCTGCCACGTAGAAGCAGTGTGCCTTTGGGGCAGTGGCTTGTTTGCTCAGTGCTAGTTTCTCCTCTCTAAAACAAGAATAACAGCTTCAGTGTTCTTACAAGGATTAAAGGTGATTCTATGAACCACTTAGCACAGGCCCTGGCCCAGGCAGTGCTCAATAAAGTTTTTGTGACCCAGTAGAGGCGAGAAAACTTTACCCCAAGGCCAGTTCCCTCCAGCCACACTCCACGTGCAGGGACTAAATAGGATGACTCGGGTGCTGTTGGGGCATCACCTGGTGCCAGGCACTGTGTCCAGGTGTCCAGGATGGTCGGCTAGTGAGGGGCCTGTGCCCTGTGAGGTGTTAGGGTTCTAGCCCCTGATCCCAGGATACTGCTGCAACTTCCTCTGCCCCATCTGCCCCTGCCCTGCCCCACTCACAGCCACCTGCGGGGCCCCTTGGGTGGGGCGGGCAGGGCAGGGCAGGGTAGGGCTGAGCAGGAGGCAGCAGGGCGTCATTATCACTCCCAGCACAGGGCTGAAGACAGAGTTAAGCCTGGCCTTCTTATCAGCTCCCCACGACTTGTCCTGAAATGTACAGCCTGGTTCTGAGGAATGGGGACTGGAGGGCGGAGCCCCCTGGTCACTGCCCAAGTCCTTCCCCCTCTGGAGTGGTTCCAAGAGCAAGAATGGGAGAGGCAGGCAGCCTGGGAAACAGAGTGCCACCATGTGATCCTTACCATGTGAGCCTAGGCAATTCCTTTCCCTTCTAGTTCCTATCTGTGAAATTGCGGGCAACTGGATGAGGTGACCCTTGAGTCCCTGTAGCTCTCAAGAGTTACGATCCTGTGACTGCCTGTGAGGTAGCCATGATCATCCTGTTTATAGACAGGAACTTGAGGCCAAGCAGAGGCAATAGACTTGCTCCCATAGCACTGGTTGGTAGCAGAGCTGAGTGACGCCTGACTCTCAGCCCAGGGCTCTTCCCACCCCGACCTTCTAGGCGGCTCAGGGAGTAAGGGTCTGTAGATGAAGAGGGGGCAGCTGCCTCCAGGCTCCAAAGGACTCCATCAGGTTCCAGGAGTGAGCTATGTTCCTTTCAGACGGGCTCTAGACACATGGGAACCTGGCGGCCATACAGGGTGGGGGTCACTGCTTGGCTTTGGCCCAGGGAAAGGCAAGGATGGCATGGCATGGTGTGTGGAGAGCAGGCCCAATCACTTGGCCCTGAAAACACCCTTCCTCTTATCAGTGGACCTAGGACTGCAAGCGGCATGTCTGAGTGTCACAGGCAAGTTTATCAGAAATGAGGAGGAGGCAGAAAAGAATCGTAGGGGCAGCTCAACTGAAGCCTGGCAGGAAAGAAACTCTGAGGGAGGCCCAGTGCTTAGGAAAGAGGGTGTCAGGGGTGGGGTCAAAAGAAGGGGTGGGCTAGGTCTCACTTACCCCACGAGGAGCAGAGGAGTCTGATCCAAAGGACACTGCCAAGAAAATCTTAGAAATCTCAGGTTGGCAGAGACTAGAGAGACCCAGAATCTGCATCCCAAAGCAGGAGAGGTCGTGGCCTCCTTTGAGAATCTAAGGAAAGTTATGTCCCTGCTCAATGTGGAAACCGAGGCCCAGGCTGTTAGAGGAGAAGACTCACACCTGGCTTAGAGCTTGGAAGTTCCTGCCTGAGACTGGGTGAGTCTCCCACGTAGCTGGAGCCCAGGACTCGGTATTAAAGAGAAAACCACAGGCTCAAAATGGTGTCACTCATGCTAAAAGCCCACGATACCAAACCTAGATTTAATACCTGATCTAACTACAGTTTCGCCCTCTCCTAGAAATGTCATTTTAACCAATCTGGAATTTTCTGGTTAAGCACCAATAAAGCAATTTGTCACGTAGGCACCCTCCATCCCTCACAGAAAGAAAAGGCAATCTGAATGATAAAAACCCTTCCCATTCTCCTCCCCGCCCACCCAAAAGATGTCCTGTCCCCAAAATAATCCTTTCTTTTCTTTTACTAATAACTCCCTTGCTCCACCCTTCTTTCTATAAAAACCTTTCATTTTATACAACCCCTCAATGTCCTTCTAGTTGCTAGGTGAGGATGCTGCCCAATTCATGAATCATTTAATAAAGCTAATTACAGCATCGAATTTACTTGGTTGAATTTTGTCTTGTAACACAGGTAAGTGTAGTCCTGATGACCAGTCCCCCAGCTCTGAACCAGGCAGCGGGGCAGGGCAGGACCAGGCCTTCCCAGACCCTGAGGCCTAGTCTTCTTAGCCCCCTGCACAGCTAGGGTTCCAGGCAGGGGTCATCCTGCACCCTGCCAGTTCCATGAATATTTCTCCATCCAGACCCTGGCCCAGGTTCCTGGATTCTCCATCCTCTTCCACTCTGGCCCAAGCCCAGGCTACCCCGAGGACTTCCATCTGGGAGGGGGCCTGAGAACCCCGTGGGTCCCGATTCTCGCCACCTCTCTTTAGAGCCAGGCAGCCTGGGCCGAGCTGTGCCTCCTGAACACAGACAGGAGACTCACACAGATTTGTGTGTCACATATACACCTGGGCTCAGGGGCCAAAAAGGCCTCATGCCTTCCTTCCCTCGCCATGCGACCATGTACGGTGGGCTTCCCAGACTACGTGAGGTTGCTTCAGCTTTACTCATAAATGTGGGCCCTAAGAATTTTAAATGTGCCCACTTAAACCATTTAGAGCAAGGCCCAAATTAGGCTGCCTTTTTGTATGCCAGGGAATACCCTGCACCCCTCCCCAGAACCCAAGCGTAATACTGAGTTAAGCAGGGCTGAGGACTGAGAAAAGGCATGAATTCCAAGTGGACTTGGGACTTGGGCAGACACTGAGATCAGGGCAAAGGGGATGAGAAAGAGCTGGAGTCTCTGGGATTGAGCAAGGCTGGCAGGGAGCCCAGAGAGCCAGAGCCACAGTGACAGGTGAGGCTGGGGCTGGACACGGAAGGGCCCAAGGCCACCACAGCCAGTCAGGGTGGGAGGAAGAGGAAAGGACAGCCTTGTGGGGAACTCAGAATATGACAACTGGAGCCATGTCCTACATCGTAAGTCACCTACCTCCCTGGTCTGGGCTGGCAGAAGATTGAGCTCCTGTCCTAAGCATACAAGCATGTGCATGCCCACACAGGCACACATACCTCCACAGGTCCCTGGGGCATTCATCTGACTACCTCACCCCAATTTCACCTGAATGTAAGGATGGCGGGGAGCAATGTTATTGGTGCCATCCTCACCTCCTAAGGCAGCAGTTCTAAATCTTCGGGGTAGCTGGATTACATGGGGCACTTGATAAAAGTTCCAATTCATATTCCTCACCCTACTCCTACCCCGCGAATCTGAGTTGATGGTCTGGGGGCCCAGGTAGATAATTCTGAGAAGGTGGTCTTTGGAGAAACACTGGGTGGTCTTTCAGCTGTGTGGTGGAGAAAATAATCATAATCATACCGCTGCATTCATTGTGTGCCTACTGTGTGCCAGGTGTTTCTCATGAACCATCTCACTTCATCCTCTGACAACCTTCTAGGAATGTGCCATTATTTCCATTCGCAAGGTCACAAACTGGCTCCTAGAAGATTCACAGTTTGATGTGCCTCCCGCTCACCCCACCCAAAGGGGCTTGCAGACTCACAGGGCTTGGCACCCATGCCAGGGACAGGAGAGACCAGATGAGGGACCAGGTGAGGGACCAGGCGAGACCCATTAGCAAGAAAGATGGAATATGATGGAGGAGACCCTCACCCTCCACCTCCCAGGGATGAGACAGCGGGAGGGCCCACTCCCAGACAGGGCCAGCTCCAACCCACCCAGGAGGCTCTAGCACCTTGGAAAACCGGGCCAGGCTTGACGAATTCCCAGGCACTGGGCGCCCCCTGCAGCCAGACATGGGTGAAACAGAGCAGGGGCCTGATCGCTCCAAAAGCTGACAGACATCCTGACAGTGCTGTTTTCTCTTCCATCATCTACAGCCCTTGCAGAGAAGTGGCCAGGACAGCCCCTGTGGTTCTCACAGTTGCCCCATTTTAAGGATGGGAGAAATGTTGAGTGTCTTGCCCAAAGTCGCAGAGCCAGCTAGTGTTGGACCCTCCTCCCTCCCAGGGTCTTTGTCCCAGTCCCTTGTAGAGGTCCCCAAAGCTTTTGGCACCAGGGACCGGTGCTCCTGTGAAAATCTAATGCCAGATGATCTGGGGTGGAGCTGAGGTGGTGATGCTAGCGCTGGGGAGCAGCCGCAAAATATAGATGGAGCTTCTCTCACTCACCCGCTGCTCACCTCCTGCTGTGTGGCCAGTTCCAAACAGGCCACAGACCAGTACCAGTCAGCGGCCCCTTCCTTAGAGCACTCCCATCCCTAGTCTCCCTCACATCCAGGACAGACATGCACAGCAGGGCAATTCTAGGAGGCAGGCAAAGGGTGTTTAATGAGCTTTGGGGGACATTTGGCACTTCCTCCAGGGGAGTGGGCAAGGGTGGGGCTCAGGAGGTGAGGTTTGGGTGAAGGGGCTCCTGGCATCGCCGGGTGTGAAGGGGCGAGCTTCGTCGGGGAGTCTCCCGCAGCATGGGCGGCAACACTGGGCCTGCGTGGAACTAAACACCAAGTGGGGCTGTAGACACTCTTCCCAAGCTCCCACCCCACAGCTCAGGGCCCTGCTGGGGAGGAAGAAACTGTCCAAGCCACTACTGCCCCCAGGCAGAGCAAAAGGGAGTGGGCTGGCACCACTGAAGGTCATTGCACCCCCACTTCAATCCTAATGCTTCACCTCCGTGTTTCATATATTGGGCTTCAGAGTAAAAACTGCTTTCAAATAAAGGAAACCGACCCCAAAATTATAAACCGCTGGACTAGTCTCGATCCTCATTTTAGCTGAGGACAGCAAGGCCCAGAAAGAGGTAGTGACTAGGTTAAGGCTAACCAGGAGCGAGTGGTGTAGTTTCTTCCTTTTGTCTCTCCAGGGACCCCTGGTGTATTCTGGAGGGCTGTGACTCCAGTTCCGACACTCCTCGGGTCTATAATCCTCCTCCCTTGAGCTCTGAGTGCTCCAGCTTTAGGGCCAGTCCAAAATGAGAGGGAAGCTTCCCCCAACAGCTGTATAGTCCACCGATGCCCCTCTCCCAACACACACACACACACACACACACACACACACACACACACACACACACACACACTCCTCACCTCCTGGAGAGCTGCAGCCTCACCACTCCCTGGGGGACCTTTTCCTGGTTTGCAGAGAGTCAGAGGTTGGGGCTGGTGGCCAGACCCAGGCCCAGGTAGGGCTGGGGGACCGAGCGAGGCGGGGCACATCGGGAAGTGCAGGTTCTGCATGGGCACCCAGTCGGGCTCTACGACTCTCTGCATACGGACAGCTTCGGCCATGTACCTGGGGAGCAATAAGTCCGATGCAAGGAGTAGTGACCTCCCTGGCCTGGTGCCTGAGGTCCCCGTGCCTCCTCAGCTTGGGAAACACTCATCCTAAGGCTTGGTCCTGCAGAGAGCTGGGGCCAATCTCACCCAGGCTGCAGTCCCTCTACCCCATTTCTTGTGGCAAGAACACACAGAGGCAAGGAAGTGGGGAGGCTCCCACAATGCCCTGGAGGAAACCCGAGAGGAATGTGAACAGTGAGTGGAAGGGCCTGGGAGCTGTGCTAAGAGGCCAGGGGAGATGACCCAGCTTCACCCCACCCTTCCAGTCCCAGGGGCCACACTGCTCAGATCTCTGGTTTGCCAACTCACTTGGGTCCCAGCGGTGCACAAATTGTTAAATACCAGTTGCTGGCACAGCCGTGGTCGAAGGGGTTGTATCCCTGCAGGTATCGGCACTGGAGGGGGGTGAGAGTGGGAAGAGCAGCTCAGAGCCAGCAAGACTGCGCAGGCCACCCCGACTGGCCCTCCTTCCTGGAGCCGGTCAGCCCAGCCCAGTGCTCCAACAAAACTCCCAGGACAGAGAGGCGGAAGAGTGAGCTGAGGCTGCCCCTAACCCACTTCACAGTGGCTCTCTCCAGGCAGCCCTGGCACTGCACCCACCTCACCTGCCTTCTCAGGGATCCTTCCCATCAGCTCTCTGCAGTATCCTCCTTATCTCTGTCTCCTTTGGCCACACACATCTTCCTGCTACCTCCTTCCAGATAGATGTTCAGATTTTTTTTTTTTTGCTGCCAAACTGCTCCAAAGACAGTCACGCACACAGGCACACCCGGCTCCCTCCACTTCTCTACTTTCCCGCCTCTCATTTTTTTCTAAACTTGTGCTTGCACTGAATTTCGCTATCTGGAAGGGCAGTCATATGACACCTAATCATATTCCCCTAACCAAAATCATATGGCCCTGGAAAATCTGGGCTGAAGGTCCTGAGTGCCCAATGCAGTAAAGGTCAAGCTCAAAGGTCAAGTCCTCCCCTGGGCACTCTTGACCAGGTTTTCCTCCTCCCCTCTCTGCTTCTTCCCCCCTTGGGCCTCACCCCCTTCCTGAGCCCCCTCCTCTTCCCCTAGTGCAGGCTGAGTCTCACTCAGACTTCAAAGAGTCTTAGCTACAAAATGTTTGGCATGACCAAAAGTGGCCCAGCAGCATCCCTGCCCACCACCAGCTCCCCTGTGCCCCCTGTCTGTTACTAAGACTTTAATATTCAACACTATTCTCTACCAAAAGGAAACAGGATTCCACGCAGGGTAGCTGATCCCTGGGGGAGGAAAAGTCAAGACAGCTCCAGAATGTCCTATTGTTGCCAAAAAGCAACACTAACCATTGTGATATTTTGAGTTCTGCCTACTTAAAGGTGTTTAAAACATTTAAGAGAAATGTATTGTATTTGCAGTTTTAATTAAATGGCTTGGAGAGTTTCATCAAATTTACAATCAGCATTTTAAAGAAATACATGTTGATTTATTAGATGTACATGAAGTATAGAAAATATTGATGGTTCAATGCTTAAAGGAATAATTGTTTAGTAAATTCCTAATAACTGACTAATAAATAATAAAGCAGAGCACCTTCCTCTCTCTCTTTTCTTGGGACCCTCTGAGACATGAATGGAATCTAACAGCTCTGAAGTTTCTAGACTGTCCTTTCTCACTGGCTCCAGACCTGGGTCTCCTCCTCCAACCCCATGTTTCAAATGCCCTTCCGGTCCACAGGACCAAAACCAGACTGGGCATCTTCCCACCCCATCTCCCTGCTGCCCTGGCTCTCCCCCTCCCCCAAGGATGAGGGCACAGTCTTCTCTCTCTCTTTCCTTCCTCTTCTACCAAAGCATCATGGAGTCCTTTGTTTGCATGTTCGCTCATTTGCCATTAATATTTGGGGGCTTTAACAATGTTCTAGGCACTGTGCTGGTGGAAGAGCAGGCAGCAGGCCAAGAAGGCAAGGTGCAGGCAGAGCAGCGGCCCAGGAGGCAGCAAGAGCTGGGCCCGGAGAGGCTGGGGTAGGGCCACTGCAGGTGCGTTCAGTTTCAGATGCTGCTGTGTTCAGTTGGGAAAGATTAGTCTAAGGGCTGCCTGCCAGCTCTGGCCACTTGGAAAGTGCAGCTTTGGTGTGACAGTAAGGACAGAGGCCAGGCTGAAGTGGGCCGAGGAAGGTGAAGAATGGCACGAGTGAGCACAATCAACTTTTTCAGGAAACATGGCTGAGCTGGAGGGGAGAGTACAGTAGATGGAGTGGAAGCCTGTGATGTTAAGGGAAGGTTTTGCTTTGCATTTAAGATGAGAGAGACATGAACATGTGTAAATGATGATGGGGAGGAGTGATAACAATAATAACAGCATATATAGCACTTACTTGTACTAGCCACTATTCTGTATGTCTTATGCATATTAATCCATGCTGCCTCCTACTTTACAGATGGGGAAACTGAGGCACCAAGTAACATACCCAAGATCTCCGTGATAGTATGTTGTAGAGCTGTGGTTTGAGTTTATGTGATCTGTCTCCAGAACCCTTGCTATCATCCACTAACCAAGTGGCCCCAGCAGAAGTTGTGGCCAAGGGATGGAGGCGGGATGGAGGTACCTGAACTGGGGTCTGCAGGAAACAGGAAAGAGCCTTGCCTGGTGAACCACAGAGTGCCCACCACATTTAGGTTTCTTAGGCTGGAGTTCCTGGATTGGGAGGTCCCATTCTAAGCAGTGGAGGGAGGGCATGCCTATGGCCTGACTCGGGTTGGAAGAACCACAGATGTGGGAAGGGAGAATGTTGCTCAGGGGAGGCTAAAATGTATGATTTTCTATGTAGAATCAACAAAAAAAGCTATTAGAACTAATAAGTGAATTTAGTAGAATTGTAAGGTTCAAAACCAATATACAGAAACCCACCGTATTTTCTTATCAGTCATGCACTGTATAACTATGTTTTGGTCCATGGCAGACTGCATATGCCATGGTGGTCGAAATGTAATGTAATGGAGCTGAAAAATTCCTATCTCCTAGTGACGTCACAGCCATTGTAACATAACAGTGCAACACATTACAATTACCTACACTCTTCAGTACAGTAACATGTTGTACAGGTGTGTAGACTAGATAAGCTATATCACATAGCCTAGGTGTGTAGTGGGCTATACGATCTAGGTTTGTGTAAGTACACTCTATGATGTTTGCACAACAAAATTACCTAATGATGCATTTTTCATAATATATTTCCATAGTTAAGTGATGCATGACTATAATAATAAAAAAATGAAATTCAAAAAAAATTTATAATAGTACAAAAACATGAAACATTTAGAAAAAATGTAAAACAATATATGCAAGATCTATTTGCTGAATGCTGCAAAACACTAATGAAAGAAATTGAAAAAGACCTAAATAAATGGAGAAGTATACCATGTTCATGAATTAAAAAACTCAATATTGTTAAAATATCAATTTCCCAAATTGATCTATAGGTTCGGCGTGATCCAGATGAAAATCTCAGCAAATTTTTTTGTGAAAATTGACAAGCTGATTCTAAAATTAACATGGAAAAATCAGATAAACTAGGATAGCCAAAAGAATTTTGAAAAAGAATGAAGTCAAAGAACTTAATATACAGCTACTAATCAAGAGTGTGGTATTGGCAAAACAATAGAGAGCCCCCAAATACACTCACACCCATATAGTCAATTGATTTTTGACAAATGTGCAAAGGTAACTCAATGGAAGAAGGGTAGTATTTTCAATAAATGGTGCTGGAAAAACCCATATGCAAAAAAATAAAGCTTGACCCATACTTTGCATTACATACAAAATTTAACCCGAAACAAATTGTAGGCCTAACTATAAAATCTAAAATTATAAAACTTCTAGAAGAAAACATTAAAAAAAATCTTTGTGACCTTGGGTTAGGCAAAGATTTCTTAATTACAACACCAAAAGCATGATCTGTAAAAGAAAAGGAAAAAAACTGACTGTGTACTTCATCAAAATTTAGAACTTCTAATCTTTAGAAGACACTGTTAAGAAAATGAGATGACAAGCCACAGACTGAGAGAAAATGTTTGCAAAACACATATCTGAATCTAGAATATGTAAAGAACTCTTAAAAGTCACTAAGAAAACGACCCAATTTTCTTTTAATAAGCAAAAGGCTGGAACAGATATTTAATCAAAGATGGCAAATAAGAGCATGAAAAGATGCTCAACATCATTCGTCATTAGGAAACTGCAAATCCAAACCACAATAAGACACTTTATACACTGACTGATGAGAATGGCTAGAACGAAAAAACAACCGACAACACAAAATGTTAGTGAGGATGCAGAACAACTGAAATTCTCATACATTGCTGTGGGAATGCAAAATGGTACAGCCATTTTGGAAGACAATTTGGCAGTTTCTTATAAAGTTAAACATACAGTTACCATATGACTGTGCAATGTCAATACTAAGTATTTATACCGAAAGAAATGAAAACTTATATTTACATGACTGTACACCAATGCTTTTACTGTCTTTACTTATAATCACCAAAAACTGGAAACAAACCAAATATTCTTCAATTGGTGAATCGATAAACCAGCTGATGGAATACAAATGATGGAATACTGCACAGCACTAAAAGGAAGAAACCACTGACATGGGCAACAACATAGATGAATTTCAAATGCATTATGCTACGGCTATAATTCCATTTATATGAGACTCTGGGGGAAAAAAAATTGTAGGGATAGAAAATAGATCAGTAGTTGCCAGGAGCTATTGGCTGCAAAAGGCCCTAAGGGAATTTTTGGGGGTGATAGAACTGTTCTAAATATTGGTTATGATGGAGGTTACAGGATTGTATGTGTTTGTCAAAACTCATGTAACTGTGCACTGAAAAGGGGTGAATTTTACTGTATGTCAAAAAGAGAACCCTATCATGGCTTCCAGGTTTCCAATGCACCCGAGACTAAATTCTCCACCTGACTTTTTGGACCTTTTAAATCTGGCCAACCCCAAGCAGTCCACTTGACATCTTTGCCATCTTCTGCTCCAATTATGACTGTTTCTTCACTATCTTATCCTCATTCCGCAGACCTTCAGTCTCCAATGTCTTTTTGCAAACTGGCCCCGCACCTGCAAGCCCTTCCCTAACTTCTGCCTATCCCAAATCACTATGTGGTAGGCCCTGCTCCGCAAGGCGGTCCTTCCTGAACTATTTCCTTTAGGCGTCTGTGCTGCGCAGCGTAGGACAGGACCCTCAGATTGTCCACGGGTGTCTAACGGGTATTGTTCTGATTTCAGGTTCTTTATCAACACAAGCACAGCATGTAGCCTTGCTCATCTCTACACCCATCCCTCAGAATAACGCACATGTGGCCCAGCACACAGTAGGACCTCAATGCAGTGCACCCAGGAAGGAGCGTAACGACCGAGATCCACTAGGAGGCGCGATTTGAGCTGAGTCTCGGTCTGGAAGGGCTAATGAGGCAACTTTGAGAGAGGTCAGGCCATCAAGGATTAGGGCAGAGGAGTAAGAGCGGAAAGTGAGAAGGTCCAGGGGGCCCTACGTGAACACCCACAGCCTGGTGCGGTGGCGCCGCGCTCGGCCCCGCGTACCTTGCCCTCGCAGGAGCGCTCGGCCGCGCTCACCGACATGGCCTGGATCAGCAGCAGCAGGAAGAGGGGCACCAGGAAGCCGGTGGCGGGTACAGCCACCACGATGCTGCGCACCAGCTAAGGAGCATTGCGGCCGACTGTCTTCCCTGGCCCCGCTCCTCGCCCCCGAATTCGCCCCAAACAGCCCTGCCCACAGCCAGCCCGGTCCATCCGCTCCCCTCTCCGATCCCGCGTAAACCTCACCCCAGCCTGCGGTTCAAGCTCCAGTGCCACCTTTAGCACCCCTTATCTGTGACCCAGCTAGATTCTTACCTCTTCGCAGTTCCTCCCAGCCCCGCCCATCTCCCCGGCCCCATCCACTCTCACCTAGTCCCGGACTGGTCCTCCCAAGCAGCTTCTCTTTTTAACCCTGCCCACCACTAGCCCTGCCACCGAGAACCCGCCCCTCGGCGCTTCCCGCCCTCCCCTCTGCTCCCCACCAGGACCGGGAGGATACGCTATGACTTTGTCTATGGAGAAAGGCAGGTGGGTAGTGCGCAGCAGGAAGATCACGCAGGTGACCAGCACGGCGCCCGAGTAGAGGCATAGGGACAGGACGAGCAGCATAAAGAAGCGGAAGTTGCGGTGACCGATGCAGTTATTGACCCACTTGCAGTGATGGTCAAAATCCTGGGCGAGAGGGGGCAGGCCTCCAGGACCCGACCTCTGGCCTGGCCTCCGTAGCCCCTAAATCTGAGGCCTTACCTCCACCCCCTATGCCACCTGCCCTTGGCCCCACGGGCTACTCTTCCCTTCCCCACACCCCCGCAACTGAGCCACAAAGTCCCTAACGCTGGCATTCCAGTGATTAGAGCACTGTTAGGGCTCTGTGGCTCACAAGGTCGCCTGTCAAGAGGCCTTTAGAAGCAAGGCCTTCCTGGTCTTCTGTGGGACACATCCTGGTGGAACTTGGGCAGGACATAGAGTATCTCTGTGCAGTATGTTTTCTTATCAGTCAGATGAGGATAATAACACCCTTGCCCAACCAGCCTTCCAGAGTTGTAAGGACTACATAAGACAGTACATTTGTAAACCTTTGCAGGCAGGGCAAGTGAGAGAGACAAGCCCTCAGATCCCAGGAGACACCCGGAGGTGGACAGGCCTGCAGCCAGTCTGAAGGCCTTGGGTATCTAGTGTCAGTGAGCCTGGGGATAGGACAGGGGTGCCTTCCCTCCTCCTAGCCTGACCAGGCCCAGCATAAATGTGGATGTCCTTGTGTGTGTCAGCACCAGTGCAGGCCAAGGCCAGCCTCCCAGGACAGATGCAGGCAGAGAGGCGGCGACCTACAGGAGTGACCAAGAGGGGCTGGGAGTTACTGTCACTCTTGGCCTTTTGCAGACCCTAAAGTGGTTTCATGCCTGCCACTGGCCTCCGTGTGAGTGGGCCTCCTGGTCCAGGCCAGGTGCTGGGGGTTGGGGGGCATGTGTGGGCAGATGAGAGAGGCACTCACCTCCACACAGATGTTGCACCAGGGGCAGTGGTAGGTCCGGGGTGGGCGGTGGAAGCAGCATTTCTGGCACCAGTGAAGGCGGAAGGCCCTGTGGTTCACCCATACTACGTGCACCATCATGGGCCCCTGTTCATTGGAGCCTGGCATGGGAAAAGAATTGGGCAGTATCAGGAAGCTCTTCCATCAGTCTGCTGCTGGGGGTGGGGAGAGGCTTCCTTTCCCCTGCTGGCTCTAGGAACCCCATGGCCACAGTATCACTGGACTCCAGGAAAGGTGGAGAGGAAGTAGACAGAGAAATTCCTCGTCCCTGCTGAGTAAGCTGACCAAGCTCAGAGAGGTTGTCAGTCAAAGAGAAGGCGGGTTTCCGCAAGAGGAGTTCTGTGAGAACTCGGGCCATTGAAATCGTGATTGATGCTTTAGGGAGTTTACGCAGTGGAAAGAGGAAGAGAGAACTAAGCTGTTGTGAAGCTCTGGTTTCTCTCCCTGACCTGTCCCGGCCCACCCCTCCAAGGCACCTAGATTTCTGTTTTTCCACATCTCAGCAGCTTGGGAAACGAAGTGCCAGAAATAGGGCCTGAACAAATGAGGACGTGGAGTGAAGGGGTTCTGAGGCCCAGGGAGGAGAGATGGGAGAAGCACTTTGGAAATCATCCTGCAGGCAGGAGCCATTAGGATGCTACCTCCTTCTTCCAGGGGACCCAGGTCTCACCTTGATGCAAGATGCCGGGGTCTGAGAAGTTGAGTGAAACAAGACTGAAGAAGGTGAGCAAAAAGAGGAGACTTGTGACGATGGGAAAGGCCCACTCCCCGTTCTGGGCCAGCCACCTGCAACTAAGACCAGAGTACGACTCAGCCCTGATCTGGGGTGGCCTGAGGCTGCCCCCAGGACCCAGTCGACCTCTCAGGACCCACAGACCTTAAAAACTGCTCTAAATCTCCAGGCTATTGACAGGTCCATAGAGGCTCCACCAAATGTCCCTCGGTATTATCAGCCACCAGCAGCACCCAAACGCACCAAGCACTCTATACATCTATGCCTTTGCACATCCAGTTCCCTCTACTTAGAATATCCTCCCTTCCCTGACTGCTGTGCTGAACTCCTGCGTGCACACTATCATTCAGTATCTGTTTTCCTTTCTCTCTGTAAGAAACCTGCCAGCTTGTATGGTAGACTCACGGGAATGCAAAGAAGAGGCCGCTGAAAACCAACAGCAGCACAACATTGAAGGCAGCAAACAGGCTTGGGAGGATCCAGGGAAGTGGGGCCTGAGGCGGAGGATGGGACTCCTTCATGAGGGGCATGGCATCCTTCAAGACCGGCATGGCTGGACCACTGGTGCCCCCAGGGGAGATCAGAGCCACCAGGCTCTCTCTCCCCTGCTGGCTCCAGGAGCCCCATGGCCACAGCTGCCCCGGAAGCCACAGCTCAGGGTGGAAGGAAAGAAGTCCAGTGTGACATCACAGAAGATGAGGAGAATGAGGAGAATGAGGGCCAGGGGCTCTTCAGAAGAACTGTCTGCAGCCTATGAACGTCACTTCCACAGCAAACCCACCCCACTCTGGGGACTGAGAGGTCCTGCCCCTGTGAGGAGGTTAGCTTCGAGACTACATGAGATTAGAGAAACATGGAGGGAGAAGGTGGGTGATTTTAATCACCCTTTTGGGCTCAGTGTTGATTGAAACAGTACTCATTGCTTACTCTATCTCCGTTTTTTTCCTTTTTGTTATTAAAAAATTCCACTTTGGGGGAGGAGCTTCTCTCATTTCCAGGGTTGGCTTCATGACAATTCTGATCAAGGAGACGTAAGTGGATGTCTGTCAAGAGTTTCTAGAAAAGCTTTTGCCTTCCTGATAAAAGGTAAAGGACACAGTTGGCACAGCTCCATTCTTCCCTTCCTGTCCTGAACCGAGGCGTGCTGGCTGGGGTTGCCACGTTGGATCCATTAGGCAATAAGCCAACATGCTACACAAACAGAATGACATCAATTACATTGTTGAGTCTCTGTCCCAGCCTTGAACTGCCTTCTCTGAGCTGCTGATTATGTGAGAAAATAACTAGGTTTTCTGTTGCATGCAGCTGACATTTGTCACTTGTTTTAGCTGCTAAGCATCTGAAACCCTCTATGTTTGGAGGATTTCCCTGCACCGTAAGTCTTGATGAAGGGCAAAGACCATTTCCCCATCCCGTTGGAGCTGAAAATGCCAAACACTCTCATTCAAAGCCTCTCTTGTAACCAGCACACAGGCTTGTGACCTAGGCGCCACCAATTAGCCTCAGAAATGCTACCACCGACCAATAGAGGAATCTGTTGAGACATAGCAACTGTACATATTGTCAGAGCTCCCATGTGTTGAAATATAATGGCTGTTTCCAATGTCACTTTAATTTCAACAGAGACTGTATTATTCTTCAACATGGATAAAAATTGTAATTCCAAGATTCTTACTTTGAATTGAGCTAAATAAACTGGCACATTTTGAGGAAATTAACTAAAAACAGAGCAAAAATCCCTTATCATACAATTACTGTTACATTTTCTTGTCTATTGAAACATTTTTTCTTCATGATATTCAAATTAAGAGGTTAAAATCATTATAGTAAAAATGTTAGCTTATAAGATACTTAATAAGATTATATTTTAAATATTAAAGTTTAAAGCGTTAGGTATTTTCACTTGTTATTATTTACTCTAACTATACATGTATGCACATTTAAAATATCTACATATCAAAATATATTAAAATTAAAATTTTAAAGATATATGTATGGTAGGAAAGAATTGGTAGTTTTGAAGAGAAATGATCTTTAGATAACACTGTTTTCAACATGATACAGTAAAAAGTTATTATTTGCTTTCTGCCTATTCTACCTAATAATAGAGAGTTATTATCTCATCTAATCCAAATGAGTAATGCTAATGGGGTCTATTCACTTACATACTTTTTAAAGAAATTTTACATCCTGTTTTTGGAAATTTTATGATCATAGACAATGATTATAAATAAATAAAATGAAAGAAGAGTTCTCTCTTCTAAAAAAAAAAAAGAAAATGCTGAATGTTACATTACCTTCTGCTATGCCATGTAAAGGATTGTTAGTCTGATTAATAATACAGCCAGCACTATAACCATTTCTTATCCTCAAGCAACTATACTCTTATGTAGCAACAACTTTTTTTGATGTTGCTATTTTCTGATACTGGGCCCCAAATTCAGAAGAATAAAATCAACCTTGTGTCTTTTTGACTGCTAGATAATACTAAAGGCTCACTCCTCCACCCTATAACACATGACATGGCATTCTCATGTATTGATGGATATTCAAAACATAGATACAATTAACGTGCTCCATATTTTCTTTATATGCTCAACAATCATGTAAGAGCTGCCCTATTTATTGGGCCCACATTGTCGGGCAAGCTTATAAATAAAAAAAAGAGAATTTAATCTAGGTTTGGTATAGCTAAAGAGTTATCGATATGAATACGTTTTTCAGTAATTTGCATACTCTTTCAGAGTGGGTAAAATCACACTGGAGTTCAAGTGCAAGGTCCAACACAGAGATTATTAACAAATTGCCTTCTAAGGGTATTTTATTCCTTGGTTTAAAACATTCAAGTCAGTTGGCAGCAATTGTGGCACACATTCACAGAACAGATTTATCAGTGTTTTCACTGTCCATTAACACATTTTCTCCTCAGGTTAATTATCATTACGGGCCAGCCAGGCATACTGGCCTCCTTGCTGTTATCAAACACTCCTGGTATATTCCAGTCCTGGGTTCTTTGCACTTGCTGCTCTCTTACCCTGGAAATCTCTGCGGAGTGTGCTCCCTTACTTCACCAACCTCTTTGTTCAGTTGATACCTTCTGCCTTTATCCGGATGCCTGCACTTCCAATTATTTCCCAATGGTTGGATTTGGGGTTGATGAATGTAAATATTTAAACAGCTCTTGCATAATTTGTAAGACGTTTTCCAGAAAGTGTGTATATGTTTATACTCTCATTATGAGCATACTTATATTATACTAAAACTCAAAATTAATATTAACATTAAATAATTTCTCTAATTTTATAGATGACAAATGATACCTTGATCTTATCATTTATAGCTCCTTAAATTACTTATAAAATTAAATATTTTTATGCACCTACAGGTCATTTTATTGTAGTTGTTTTGTGACTTGCCTATTTACATCTTTTGTTTGTTCACATTTCAATGTGAAAATGTTGGGGTATTTTTCTTTTTTTAAATTGTGGTAAATATGTATAACATAAAATTCACCTTTTAAACCATTTTTAAGTGTACAGTTCTGTGTCATTAAGTACCTTTACATTATTGTGCAGCCATCACCATCATCCATCTCCAGGACTTTTTCATCTTCCACACAGAAACTCCATACCTATTAAACACTAACTCCTTCTTATTTCCCTTCCCACCCAGCCCCTCATAACCACAGTTCTATTTCTGACTCTATGAATTTAAGTATTCTAGGTACCTCGAATAAGTAAAATCATACACTAGCTGTCCTTTTGTGTCTGGCATTTAGCATAACGTCCTCAAGGTTCATCCTTGGCTGTTAGCAGTCCTGAAAATTGGTATGTTGTAACATGTATCAGAATTTCCTTTCTTTGTAAGGCTAATAATATTTCATAGTATGTATATATTGCATTTTGTTTATATATTTATCTGCTGATAGACATTTAGGTTGTTTCCAACTTTTAGTTATTATGAATAATGCTACCATGAACATGGATGCACAAATAGCCATTTAAGTCTCTGCTTTCAATTATTTTGGGTATATATCCAGAAGTGGAATTTCAGGATTATATAGTAGTCTTATGTTTAATTTTTTGAGGAACTGTCATACCATTTTCCATAGCCACTGCAGCATTTTACATTCCCCCAACAACGCACAAGGGTTTCCAATTTCTCCACTTCTTGCTAACTTTTTTTTAGTGATATTCTTATCACTAGGGGTAAAGTGGTATCTCATTGCGCTGTTGAAGAAAGTGGGTTGTTTTTTTTCCTGATTTGCAGGAGTTCTTTTACATTAAAATTTTGGCTGGATTTATTGCAAATGTGTTTCCAGTTTGTTATTTGCCTTTTAATTGTGTGTGCAATTTTTAATATAAAGTTTTTGTTATTTTTATGTAATCAAATATATTGATAATTTCCCTAACATTGTCTTACCTTACTTCTAAGTCTTTCCCTCTTTTTCTGTCTGATAAATATTTAACATTTCTTGTTTACTTTTTCATTTAACTCTTTAAACTACCAAAAATTAATCCAGGTACTAAGTTCCTTATATATATTAAAGTCCATGAGTGGCATTGTGAAGTACCTCCCAGATCCTCCTCCAGAAATGAAGAATTTATCTCCCCAGCTGTTGAAAGACAGCCTCAGCTTGAGGGATTGCCTCCCCTAAAGAAAACTGCTCACCCAAAGTCCCGCCTCTTTCCAGGGGGCAGCTTATAACCAAGGAGTGAGCAACATGAGGGTATAAAGGCCCAGCCACTTTGCCCCAGTGCAGGACAATTCTGAAGGGCCTTCCCAGCCTCCAAGTGACTTTAGAGGTTAGCTAAGGCTTTCCTTGGGCTCTTATCACAGATTGACTGCTCCCTTTGCTCAGTCCCATTTCCTTCCCTTCCCCTCCACAGGTTTTGATCCCCAAATCATTCCCTAATAAACATTCTTCATGTTAATCTCTAGAGTCTATTTGTGGACTTTTTGTTTCATTAACTTATTGAGTTTAGTACCATGTATTTCAATTTTTGTAGTTTTAGAATTCAGGGGGCTTTTTCCATTCTTAGTTATCATCATCTGAATCTCTATGATGTTATGTAGCAAACAAAAGCATCATAACGTAAAACTATTCACTAATAAATAAGAAATGAGGTCCTACTCAAAGATCGCCTTTTATTTTAAACTAGCATCTTCCTTTCCTATCTCAACTGCAGTGTAAAACAACACCAAATACAGGTAAAATGGCAACTTATTGCAAAGTTCAATTTCAAATTTTGCCCCCCAAAAAGCAGAATTTTTATGAATTTGATAGAAGTGATATTAGAATACCATTTAAATCACCCCCAAACTCTAAAACATCTAAAGATTGAAGAAGGAAAAATAAAAAAGGTTGACAAAAAATAATGGCTAGTGGTATCACTGGTAAATTCTACCAAACATTAAGGAAAGAACACCAGTCCTTCTCAAACTGTTCCAAGAAATAGAAAAAAAAATACTCCCTAATTTATTCTATGAGATCAATTTTACTCTGATACTGTCTGATGCCAGACAAAGACATCACAAGAAAAAACTACAGAGCAATATCCTTTATGAATATAGATGCAAAAATCCTCGACAAAATACTAACAGACTGAACCCAGTAGCATATTAAAAGGGTTATACCCCATGACCAAGTGAGATTGATCCCAGGAATGTAAGAGTGGTTCAACATACAAAACTCAATCCATGTACTACATCACATTAATAAAGTGAAGAAAAAAATACAAGACGATTATCTCGATGCAGAAAAAGCATTTGGCAAAATCTAACACCCTTACATGATTAAAACACTCCACAGACTAGGAATAGAAGGGAACTTTCTCAAACTGATAAAAGGCCTTTATGAAAAGGCCACAGCTAACCTCATACTTAATGAGGACAGACTGAATGCTTTCCCCCATGAGATCAAGAACACGATTAGTGTGCTTGCTTTCACCACTTCTGTTTAACATTGTACTGGAAGTTCTAGCCAGAGCAATTAAGCAAGAAAAAGGAATAAAAGGGATGTTGAGGGGCTGAATGAAAAAGGGAAGGGATTAAGAAGTACAAATTGGCAGTTACAAAATAGTCAAAAGGATATAAAATACAGCATAGTAAATATAAGTCAATAATATTGTAATAACTATGTATGGCGTCAGGTGGGTACTAGACGTATTGGAAGGATCACCTTGTTAGATACGTATATGTCTATGCTGTACACTTGAAACTAATATCATATTGAATGTCAACTATAATTTAAAAAATGTTTTAAATTTTTTAGAAAAAAAAGTGAAGCATATACACTGGAAAGAAAGAAGTAAAACTATCTCTAGTTACAGAGGACATAATTTTTCATATAAAAAAACTTAAAGAATATACACACAGATACACAATTAAAGCTAATAAATGAGTTCAGCAAAGTAGCAACACTATTCATAATAGCCAAAAAATGGAAATAACCCAAACATTCATTAACTAATGAATGGATAAAATATGGTATGAAAGAACATTACTTAGTGATAAGAAGGAATGAAGTACTGATATGGATAAACATGGATAAACCTTGAAAACATTAAATGAAAGAGGTCAGACACTAATGACCACATATAGTATGATTCTATTTAGATGAAATATCCAGAATAGGCAAATCCATAGAAAGAAAGTAGATTAATGGTTGCCAGGAGATGGTGGGAAGGAGGGATTGGGTAGTATGAGGTTTCTTTTGGGGATGATGGAAATATTCTGCAATTAGATTAATAGTGATAATTGCACTACATTATGAGTATACTAAAAACAAATGAATTGTTTAGTCACTTTAAAATGACTAAAATGGTGAGTTTTATGTTATGTGAATTTTATCTTAATAACAAATTTTTTAAAAGAGGGAGAACAGCCTTTAAATATCAAATGATTACAGAGCTCTGAGGAAAATCGATGAAATTCATGTGTTTTTTAAAAAATATTTTGATTTTTCAAAAAATGACTCTTATACCAAGAGAGCCCAGACTGAACTTTTAAGTATTCTATCATGTTACCAAACAATAAAGAATGATTCATTCTTCTTGGTCCTGAAAACCAGTGTCTGACAGCTTGCAGTCCAAAGTTAGCAAGAGAAGACTGATTGGCTGGTCCAACTGGTCTTCTCTTGCCACACCTTAGCTGTAGATGGGCCGGCCTTGAGTTAAGGGCATCACCCTGGACAAATCCATGGGTGACACTGTATAGAAGATAGCCACTGCGGGGCTTTGGGTGGAGCAGAAGCCCCTCATCAGAGCTAAAGTCCTCTCTCTCACCAACACCCTCCCATTCCTCCTCCATTGTCATCCATCTTGAGAATTATCCAGTCTTCCCTGGACCTCCCAGCCCTTACTGCCAGGCTGTGGAAGACTAAGTGTCATCCCAGTTGCCTTCCCTTCCCTACTCCCTCCTGCTCTTCAACCTCCCTCTCACTGCTCCATGCCCCGACCTCCACCCCACAGTTCTATTCTGAAGAAGTTTCAGGAGAACATCTCAGCACCTGTTATCTCTAGGAAAGTCAGAAGTTCAGGGCTTTGGGCAATTAATTAGCTCAAGGCCTCTCACAGGGCTATAGGTGAATGACCCAGGGAACATTCCTATGGAAATGGTTTGAGGAAGCTGAGTCAGCCAACATCTTTGTCAGGGCTATGAGGCAACTGACCCTTGGGGGGGTCAGTGCCCTGTCTTCCTTGTTGTGCCCTAACCTTCACCTTAGGAGGTAATTTGGGCCCATGAGACTCCTAGATCACTACATTGTCCTCTCCCTAAGAGGGAGATATTTTGAGGTGTTTTGGAACAGGAGTAGGGAGTCCTTCTGGTACCACATCAGCAACGAACTGTATCTACTCACCAGCCCAGGTCAGGGAGCCTTCTCTGCCCTCCCAGAATTGGCTCTTTTGATCCTCACATTGTCCCTTCTCTTACTATCAAAAATCTTCATCTGAACCTCAGCAGAGCTGTAACCTAGGTTCCTTCTGCCTCTCTCCATACCTCCACGGCTTTCTACCCAACCTGGTGCCATAACCTCTCTGAGATTCAGTTTTCTTATCTGTAAAATGGTAATAAAGATAGTACTTACCTTTTAAGAGCAGTCGTAAGGTTTTAAACAAGATAAGGAACATACTGCATTTCCTACAGCACCTGGTGAGCCATAAATGCTCAATAGACATTAGCTGCTGTTGTGATTTTATTAATTTACCAGTCATACGACCAATTCTAAGAAGCACTTAGTATGTGTCAGTCCCTGTGCCAGGAACCTAGGGGTACTGTGCTTGGCCTCAGATAGATTTAAATCTATTTGGAGAGAGAAGAGAGATCACTAATCAATAAAATAGTTCATAAGCATATAATTTGGTATGGTTTTCAAAAATCTGTCAGTATGCTCAGAAATCTCACTCAGCAACTCTGCCTCTTAAAATATAGTCTCTCTCCCACCTGCTGCATCTTTGAACGCTGTTTGGCTAGATAAGTCCATCATCAAGATGCAGCGGGCTGGGCTTTGGGAAACTCACAGGGGCCAAATCTGGTTTTTCCATCTAGTCCTCTCTTCCACATGCCAAAGCCCCAGCACCAACACAGTCAGGACATCAACCAGGATTCCCCCACCTCCAGGACACAAGAGCCTGAGTTCCAGCCGGGTTCTGGGGTAGAGGGAATTGTTGCCCAGGGGGTATTGAAGGGAGGATCAAGAACTTTGTCCTTGCCAAAGCCCTAGAAGGCTCCTTAGGTGGGGGATAAAGGACAGAGGTGGGGGATGGAGAGAAGGTATGGCCAAAGGCATTTGTGGGAGGGAGGTGGGAGTGACCACACCTAAGGACCGGGAGGAGTCAGAAACCTAGGAACTTAGCCAGCTAAGAAGATCAAATTTCAAATTCCTCTGAGATGAACTGAGAGGAATTTGTGGACACTGGGAAGCCTGAGAAGAGAGAGAGCCAGAGGGGAAGACTCAGCCACTCCACCTACCTTCTACCTGAGTCCGCTGGGAAAGGGCAGCAGGCAGCAGGGCCTGGAGCTGCCTTCCTGAGGGCACTCACCTGTCCGCCCTTCCTTGTCCCTCCGTATCTGCTGGGAGAACTGGAGAGGGAGAGAAGACATGGAGCCAGACAGGATTCCGATAAAGCTTGACCCCAGGTGAGTGAAGGCAGCAGGCCCTGAGCCAGGAGCCAGTTGCTAAGCAGCAGGTGGCCTCTATCGCTCTGGCCTGTCCCTACCTTCCTCCCAGGGCCTTTTGGGTCTCAGCACACGGAATGAGACAGGACTGAAAATGGTCCAGCTGTCCCCGAGGTCCTCAGGGATATGTGGTATGGGCCAGTGCGTGACCCCTCAGAGTCTTGGCTTTCTCTCCCCAAATGGGAAAAGAAATACCTCAGAGTTGGGAGCTGTAGGGAGCATGTAGAGTACCCATCCTTAGCGCTAAAGGCCCACTCTTTCTCTAGGACCCTGCTCTTTCTCTTTAGCCAGCCCCTGGGTTGCTGCCCACGGGAAGTAAAGAGAATGAACTGTGGGCTCTTTGGGCACTGCAGTCAGACCTGCCCATGGCCCAGGTGGCAAGCTGCCTTACACACTAACCTGGCCCAATCCTCCATTCCCTCCAAGGATCAGGATCTCTAGGGGAAATGGAGAAGCTCCCTGAATCTAGGAGTGTTTGAGGGAGTATCAAGTAACTGGTACCTTCTCCCCTCCACAAGTCCCCATATTCTGAACACAGGCTGGTGTCTCTCCAGGTACACGGCAGACCTTCTGGAGGTACTGAAAACCAATTACAGCATCCCCTCTGCCTGCTTCTCGCATCCTCTCACTGCAGCCCAACTTCTGAGAGGTGAGTCAGGGACCTTCCCCAGAGGGAGCCAAAAGGAGGAAATGAACATTGCAGTGGTAAGTCAGGACAGCTGAGAAGACCAGAAGAGGAGGCCGTGAGCTGGCCAGCTTGGAGAGCCTGAGAGGATGGCTGGCCAGGTGTCTATCACGATTAAATCACGATTAAAGCCTTGGAGAAGATTAACTCCTTGAGGATCCAATAAGCCAAAGAGGGTCATGACAACCGAGCCCTGGAGATAGGCTTGCATGTTGGGTCTCCCACAAATCCTAGCCTCCAAGCTCATTCAAATTGAGATCCTGGCCTGGAGCATTTTTCAGACCCCAGGAACATTCAGGGACTCCAGATGGTCCCACCATGACCCAAGCCCCACAGAATCCCCTTGAGGCCTGCACAATAAAAAATAGCCTTCTTAGGAAAAGACCTCTTTTCCTACCATTCGAGGGGGTGGTTATTATGAATAATGTTCTTAAAACTTAGGCGAACCTGTAAAAGTATTCTGACAGTGCTGGGCAACTAGATTCCTATCATTGAATTGATTTTGAAAGAGAAAGGCTGAGGACTCAGTTTATTCCTTGAACGTGCCTAAAACATGACAGTCAATTGAACCCAGCATCTTCAAAGCAAATGTAGCTCATTCACATTTTATTTCATTTTCTTACTACATGATTAACTACTTCTTAGACATTGATAAATAATGCTCAAAAAATACTCAAAATACTCAAAAATACTCAAAAATACTCAAAAAATAGTGTTTAGAAAGAATTTCTTATAAAGATAACATGTTACATTCAAGTGTTCTAATTAAAAATAATTTTTGATGGGTGAAAAAGAGGAAGGAATTAAGATTAATGTTTTTCCCAGCCTCCTTCCCGATGTAACCTCAAGGAAAAAGCTCTTTCCGAACAACAGGATATGATCGGTGTGCATTAGGAGGCACACATGGGCATGTCCTTGGACAGTGTTCAGCCTTGTGTCAGTTGCTCTGTATCAGAGTTAATGTCGACTGCCAGAGTGTCCAGGGAAACCCCGTAGCTGCTCTGTGGTTCGTGCCATTAGGCAGGTGCTACATCTAGCTCCCAAAACCTCTTGTTCATAGACTACGGCTGGTGATACAAGTCTCTCCTTACACCAGTGGTTGTAAGCCAGAGGCAATTTTGTTCCCTAGGGGACTTTTGGCAATGTCTGGAGACAGTTTCTGTTGCCACAACTAGAGGATGCTACTTGGCATCTAGTGGGTAGGGGCGAGGGATGCTATCCTGGAAACAAAGGAAAGCCCCCCATGAAGAGGAATTATCAGGGCCAAAGTGTCAGTAGCGGTAGCGCTGAGACTGAGAATCCCTGTCTTACAGTGAAAATAGATCTCACATCGCTTTGCTACAAAATGTGCAAATAGAAGCACCAATGATGTTCAAAGTAGGGAGAGACCATTCTGGGCCTGGTATTCCGGCGAGCTGCTTTATTCCCAGGCGGAACTGTTGGGAGTGGGTAGCAGTTAAAGCGTGGTGAGCAGGCTGTGGGCACTGCTGGGGTGGGGATGGAGATAGAATGAGCAGGCAGGTTTCCCAGACACTGAGGAGCTAGGTTTGGCAGGATTCAAGATTGCTGGTGAAGAAGGAGGAGTCAGTTGAGAGGCTAGGCCTGTAAGGTGGGGCCGGATGAGCGTCTGGCAGAGGAGTTGCACTTTATCCTGTAGACTGAAAGAGCGCTGGCTGGGGCTCTGAGACTGGGAGGGGCAGGATAGTACTTCCAGACCATTAATCAGTAATCAAGGAAGAACTTTGAGAAGCACAGGTATGAACTAGAGGTTATTGACCCAGTCCAGCATGAGGGACGAGAGTCTGAAACAGAGCACTGTCAGGGAAAGGAAGGGAAGGGTGGAAAACATGGACAATCCAAAGAGCATCCGATCAGGTAAATATCTAGACGAGATAAGTGAAGGAAAAAGAGACTCTAATGATGACTCTGGGGATCTGGGCAATCGATCCAGATATAAACAGGCTAATTGGGGAGAGGTGCCCATTGGAGGGTGCCAAGACATGGCTTTTCTCCTTCATTTGCAAACTCTGTTGTTCCCTAAAATAAATGCCACCTAAGAAAGAGCTATTCTGGAAGAACTACTGAATCTTTCACTAATTCGTTTTTGAAATGCAATTTGTGATATGATTGTAACTGTCATCTGTAAAGGACTTTCTTTTTTTAATATATATAACGGACTGATTCAAACATTTATATGGAATTGTAAAGGACCATGAAAAGCCAAGACAGTTTTGAAAAAGTATAAGAAGGGTACCTGCCCTACCAGAGATTAAGGCTTATAATAAGACTGGAGTAATTAAAGCAATGAGGCAATAACTACAAGGGGCTTGACAGGTGGAAAAAAGGAAGAGAACAGAGGGCCCAGAAATAGACCCATGCCCACCTGGGGACTTGTTCTGTGAAAGGATGCTGTACACATCAGTGGGGCATGATGGGCTCTTCAAGAAGTAATGCTGGACAATTGCCTGTCCCTATGACAAATAAATAAACATGAAAATAGTTCCAACAGAGCTTTAATCCAGGTAGATTAAATACCTAAATATAAAATGAAAATATTGTTACAAAACAAAATATAGAAAAGATATCTTTATGAGAGAAGAGAACAATTTCTTAAACACAAGAAATGATCATGGAGACTGACCACATAAAGGAAACAAACTTCTGCACAACTCAAAACACTATAAACAACATTAAAAGCCAAACTATAGACTAGGAGAAGATATTTGCAAGCCTATAACCAACAAAGGATGAGTAGTCAGTATAAGAAAAATTACCAAATAAGAATTGGATAAAATATATGAACAATTTACAGAAGAGGAAATTCAAACAGGCAATAAATACACAAAAAGATTATCTATTTTGTTAGGATTTAAGGAACCACAAATTAAATAATAAAATATCATTTCGTTACTCTCTTATAGGCAAAAATAAAAAGCCTGATAATCTCAAGTGGTGGTGAATTTGAGGTGAACCGTGAACCCTTACAGACTGCTGGTGGGAGTATAAATTGGTATAACTACTTCAGAGATTAATTAGATATCTGTAACACTGAAGAGTCTCATCTCCTACACTCAAGCAATTCTAATTCTGGGAATATGAATAGAGGAACTCTCCTGTATGTGCCAAGGAGACACACCCAAGAATGCTTATTGTAGCATTTGTTGGTCATAATGAAAATTATAACAATCATGAAAACAAGTTCGGTGGGAAAAACGTTTTGCAGGATGATGCCATTTACATAGATTTTTAAAAAAATGCAAAGCAATATAGTATGTTGAGTATGTACATATTTTGTGAAACATTAAGACATAAATGGAAGAGATATATATGAATAGTAGTTAGCCCTGAGAAGTGAGGTAAGGAAGGGAAAAGGATTCAGGAGGTACATACAGGGGTCTTCAAAAACATCTGTAATGTTTAATTTTTCTAAAAATAACTTTTGAAGAAAAATTGGCAATATCGCAACATTTTAAAATGGGTTGTGGGTAGAGTAATATTTGCTCTATTCTCATTTTTTTGAAATGTACAATTTAAAAAATTATTATAAAATCATTTTGACAGGCTGTTAGATTAAAAAACAGAAAAGAAAAAATTTTTTAAGTTAGAAATTATTTTTATTTTGAATTATAGTTGACACACAATATCATATTAGTTTCACGTGTACAACATAGTGACTAGACATTTATATAACTTAAGAAGCGATCACCCTTGTACTAGACTAGGAAAAGTCTAGTACCCGTCTGACACCATACAGAGTTGTTACAGTATTATTGACTACATTCCTGTGCTGCACTTTACATCTCCATGATTATTTTTATATTTGTTAATTTGTACATCTTAATCCCTTTTTCACCCATCAGAAATTATTTTTAATTAGAACATGTGAAAGTAACATGTTAAGTTTTTTATAAATTCTTTCTAAATGCTAAACAGATATGTTTTTTCTTTCTTTTTTCTTTTTTTGAGCATGCTGAAACCAGGAACCCAGTGTGTATGTGGGGCTTGCTCTGTCATTGTATTTTGACATACGTTCACTTTTTCCTCCAGTGTCAGAAACAATACTTGTTTTATTTGTCCATCATCTGACTCTCCCAGCTAGAATGTAAAATTCATGAAGGCAGAGAGCTTTTTGTTTTTTGTTTTTTGTTTGCTACACTCCACCACCTAGAAGAAAAACCTATGAGCGCTCACTAAATAGTTGTTGAATAAAATAATTTATTGACTGTTTTGTAACAGACCTCAAATAAGTCCTACGTAACCACATCATTATTCCTTTTTCTATCCAAAGCACCCAAATTCAGGTAACCCTTTAAAGAGGAGAGAAAAGAAACTACTCTACGTTCTCAGATATTTGTTTTAATGTAATTTTTTTATGGCTTACAAAATGTTCTTTTTCGGTTGATAGGTGGTATTTCCATTTTTCAGATTTAGAAAGACAAAGCCTATCTTAATGGCTTTGCAAATTGATACAGCAAATTATTGGTAGAACTAGTACTAAAATTTCCCTCTGACTTTGCCTTTTTTTTTTTGCTAGACCCTTCCTAGAAGATGTTTTGCTGTTGTTTCAGCTCTGGTTTGGTTTTCTTAACCCTTCCTGTTCTCTCCTCCTTTTCTTTCTCCTCCCCGCTCTTTACCCATCCCACCCCCAAGAAAACTTCAGTTTGCCAATCTCATTTTCTTTAAATAAATCGCTTTTTGGAGGAATGGGAAAAATACTGCATTTCGGTTATATCAACTCGTAGAAAAATTATTGTGAAACAATTGTTTTAGATATACTAGTCAAAACGCCTTTCATTAAAGACGAAATTCTCCATTTTGCCCTTCCTTGTGAAAAATCAGACTGATAAAAATCAAACTGATAAAGATACCAAAATATAAAACAATTATTTCTAAAATAATTGCCGCTCTAAGACTACTTGGATATTTTTAATTTCTAGTTTTACTTTAATTATTAAATATTTTAC